CAATGTAGTAATCCAACTTTATGAAGAGATCATTTATTTCTAGATATTAAATCATAGGTTCCTGGTTACTTGATGGTCAACATTACAATTTTTTTTCTCAGCGACAACGTTTTTCATTTCCTAATTTAACTTTTCGCACACATAGTTTTCTCTCACCTTATACTGTCAGTCTTTTTAGACCATCAAAATGACTTCATCATAGTTTCCTTGTAGTCATCATGAATTGCAATCAATTCAATGAACATGGTACAGAATTTAGAATCACTTTAATTTCAGACATTAGATATTGTTCATTTGTATGTGAAATAGGAATATTTTACATATTTTTGGAACATTCAAATCTAAACTCTTTCTAACAAAATATATGAGTGAATGTCAAAAATAATTACCGTATGCCATTATTTTTCTTTACTTGTCCCTTAATTTTGTATTTTCCTTGCCTAATTAATCTATGTAGTTTGTTACTTCAATGTAGGAATGCTGTTTAGTGTCTTCACTAGAATTCTTTGCATTTCATATGATACTGTCTACTTAAAATCCATGGGCATCAATAAAGATACAAATCAGTATGATAATCGGTTTTACAATTTAAGTGATGATAACTCTTGTTTTTTGCAATCAAAATATTATACTTGTTTCCTTAAACATTCTACCATTGTATATTTAATGCTTCACTGAACCATGTGCATGCTGGAAGGGTGACTGTAATTTGATAAATGTCAATCAGAAAAGAAAGTGCATAAAATTGCATCCATATTAAACTACTCACAGTGTAGTATTTGTAGATTCTTAAAATAGAGATAGATAAGTTTCTAGCAGGGGCGTACCTAGAGCATTTGGCACCCGGGGCGAATCCTGTGTTTGGCCTCTCTCCCCCCCCCCCTCCGCCTTTCAAATATGTAAAAAAAAACACCCACGATTTTTTTTTTTTTGTCAATCTCTGTTTATTGAAAAACATTTTTCTTTTTTTTTCATATCAACGCATTTTGGGATACATAATAGAAAAAAAGGGTGGGGGATATATGAGCATACAAAACAAGCTTTCGCATTAGTCAGAGTGGGGGTATGTGTCCTTGCGTCAGTTCTGTGTGCATTGATAGTTAGTCAAGAGGTTATGGTTATGGCTTAGGGAGATTGTCCGTCAGCGTTTGTGTGATCATGTGTTTCCCATTCAGGGTGATGGTGTCAGGCCGTCTTCTAAGTGTGCCCCTAACCATGGCGGTAGTGGGGGGAGGGGATATTGCGTTCAGTCTGTGGCATGTGTGTGTGATATCCGCACAGTCACACCATGATTTTTTTTAATTCTAATTCTTTTTTTTTATTCTTTTTTTTAAATTGTCTTCCAGTTCCCCATTCTACAAAGCACCTGCCCAGTCCCCCTTTTCAAAAAACCCTGCCCCCTCTTCAAAAAACCTGCACCCCCTCTACAAAAATCCCTGCCCAGTTCACCTTCTACAACACCCCCTTTCTATAAAACTCCTGCCCCCTCTACAAAAACCCTGGAGCCGCTCCTCTAAAAAAAACCTGCCCAGTCACCCTTCTACAACCCCCCTTCTACAAAGCCCCTGCCCAGTCCCTCTTCTACAAACTCCCTTGCTCCTCTCTACAAAACCCCCTGTCCAGTCCCCTTTCTACAAAACCCCTGCCCCCTCTTTACAAAAAAAACCCTGCACCTCTCTACAAACCTCATGCACTCTCATTCACAAAAATCCCTGCCCTCTTCTCCAAGACCCATGCACCCTACAAACTAAGAGGACAAAAAGGAGGGAATATTATATATAATATATAAGGATATTCTTGTCTGTACTACCATCTCATTAGATCTGGAGATAGGATGGTCAACTGATGAGACTTGTAAGTGACATTGTGACCTCTATATGGAGGCTCTAATGTTGATATGTCCTTCCCCCTTCCCAAATCCCACTCAAGGAGTGACAGCTAAGAGCTATTTAATAAACAACTAGGGGGGGGGAGGCATGCAATTATCTATACTCCAGACACGGGTTTCAGGTAATGGGTATCAAATGTGATAATGAATAATGGACATGTCATTAGCCAAACCCCAAGTTATGGACAATTGATCACTTCGGTTGGGTTGGGGTTTCCAAGCCCCTAGTCACCCACACCCAGACTTAAGAGAATAGTGAAGAGTTCAATAAAACTAATACCTGTTAAAAAAAAATATATGCTTTCCATATTTTCTTAAATCTTCTATTTTTAACCTCACAAAAGGCCAAACAAAATCCATAATAACACACTATTAAAAGCATAAATTAACTAATAAATGATTCACAAAAAAATGCAGCGAAATAATCTATATGGGGGCTCTAATGTTGATATGTCCTTCCCCCTTCCCAAATCCCACTCAAGGAGTGACAGCTAAGAGCTATTTAATAAACAACTAGGGGGGGGGGGGAGGCATGCAATTATCTATACTCCAGACACGGGTTTCAGGTAATGGGTATCAAATGTGATAATGAATAATGGACATGTCATTAGCCAAACCCCAAGTTATGGACAATTGATCACTTCGGTTGGGTTGGGGTTTCCAAGCCCCTAGTCACCCACACCCAGACTTAAGAGAATAGTGAAGAGTTCAATAAAACTAATACCTGTTAAAAAAAAATATATGCTTTCCATATTTTCTTAAATCTTCTATTTTTAACCTCACAAAAGGCCAAACAAAATCCATAATAACACACTATTAAAAGCATAAATTAACTAATAAATGATTCACAAAAAAATGCAGCGAAACAAAAATTTAAATGTGTAAAAAAATAATAATCCATCTTCACCAATGGAAGACTCTGCGCTGAATGCGCTTGCAAAGCAGGGACACTCCTTATTAAAGCTTTCTTACATTATTCAGGCTCAGTTTGAACTTGGAACTTTTTACCATATTCATGGATAGAAGAAATCAACAAAACATGAAGAATAGATGGTCTAATATTTGAAAATCAATGGAGTAACTAGTTCGATGAAATGGCAATGAAATGGTAAGGAGCATAGGTATGAGGAGTAAAGTAGTCCATAGTAAGTAAACCAAATTGGTAATTAGGTGATCCATCCTTGGAAGAGAGGGCATTAAAGAATACCTTGAAACAATATCAGGGCCAATCTGAGCAGTGCCGTAAGGGGTGATCCAACAGAGAGCTGGTCAAACGTATAATGCAAGTCATGTCGTATAAAGTCAGTCTGGTATGAGCATTAAGGGGAGATTGGTGAGAGGAGGTCGGTTGGGTAATGACAGTGTCGGGATACAAGGTGATGTAAGGGCACACTTACCAGAATTTCTATTATTAGATTACGTCTTATCCTATATTTAACAAATGTGTTTTCTTACGGCCATTATTCCACCCTATTTACCTTTATCCCGGATGTTGTGGACTATTTCCTATAATGATCTTACAGTCATTAAACTGGCAAAGCATCAGGGGAGATATAGTCCACAACATCTGGAGTGCTGCAGGTTGCATGCCCGTGGCTTAGTGAATCATATTAGTGTGTCCAAACTATTTAGGTCAAATTCCTCTCAGAGTCATGCAACATGAGGAAAAATGCCCTAGCCCATTTATTTATAAATGTATGCAGGTGCCATATTTAGGGAGGATCTAGGATTGATTTAAAATTGTCATGCTTACCTACAAAGCTCTCCTGTGCTTCTGCTTATATCTCCTCCCTCATGAGCAGTTATATTCCAACCTCGCCTGTGATATCCGCCAAAGATCTGTTACTATCCCTTTATCATACCCGCACCCCAGACTTTCACCAGCAGGACTTCTACAGGGCGGCTCTCTCCTTATGGAATGAGCTCCCACACAACAAGTGACTCTCTCCATCTCTGCAGCCCTCAAAAATGATTAAAAACATGTTTCTTTATAGAAGCCTATTAGCTAACCCCCTAACTTCTCAATCCTTACAAAAGTCTATCAAATTTATGGACTGTGGGCTACACACTGCCAGTGGAGCACACAAATTTGGCTCATCGAGTGGTTGTGGGACTCATGAGGACTCTCACTTAATTGTTACTTTTATGTGTGTGTGTCTGTATGTATTTGTGTATATGCATACCTGTGTATCTTTGTGTATCTGAGTGTGTGTGCATATCTGTGTCAGTGTGTGCATCTGTGTGCATCTGTACGTGTGTGCAAATCTGTGTCAGTATGTGTGTGCATGTGTGTCAGTGTGTCTATTGCCAACACTGGACACAAATACACCCTGCATCCAAACATCAATAATTCACACAAACACACCCCTGAATTGAAGCAACAACACTACAAACAGCCCTACATTCAACACAAACACTTCATGCAAATATAGTCCTGCATTCAAACTTCATTACTACAAACACAAAACCCTATCCGCCAATACTATGTACAGTTACACCCTTGTATTGCAATGTCAACACTCTACACAAACACATCCCTTCATTTAATTGGCAACACTACACACAAATACACCATTGCATTCAAATAGCAACAGAACATACAAACACAGAACTGCATTCAAACTCAAATACCACATACAAATAAACCTTTTTTATTGAAAGTAATACATTACATTTAGAACATCAAAAAATAGTCTTGCACTCCACTAACTGGTGTCTCTGCCCAGTGCATAGTATAACCAAATTACGTAAAGATAGCACTCCCAGGACTTCAAAGGTGTAAAAATAAAATTTAACTTTAATTTTCAAAATTTAAAAGATCAGCGTTTCAGTTTGTCACCCAAACTTTCAGCATCCTGATGAAAGTTTGGGTGACAAACTGAAACGTTGATCTTTTAAATTTTGAAAATAAAGTTACATTTTATTTTTACACCTTTGGAGTCCTGGGAGTGCTATCTCCACGTAATTTGGTTACATTTATAACATTATGTGAACTTGTTCTTTGTGCCCACATTTCTTCTTGTTTGCGCATGTTTGTATATGTATTAAGGCAGTTTTGCCTGTATTTGTGGGAGGGGCTTAAATTAATTCACTCCCCTATATAAGGGACACCCCTTACCTGACTCATATCGCTTGAGGTCAGCATCAGAATGATTTCCACTTCCGGGTCATCCAGACGCCATTTTACCTGATTACTCCATGAGGTTTTCTAAGCTGAGCTGTGTCAGGAATCCAGCCACAGGCTTTTCCGGCCTACCACCTTCTTTCTTCAATCTATCACTGTGGATGGTGTCCAAGTGACTCACAAACCGTAAGTTGACCTACCCATTACGCCAGGCATCAGTCCCACGGCACCATGCACGGGTCAGGTCCTCACTTTACGGCTGCATTTTGTCTGTCTGTTCTAAAACCATTGCATGTTCATGCATATCATTCATTTAAACCCCCTACTGGTCTTTGGGGGTACTACAGACTTCTTAGACATTATCGCATTTCATGTACAAACCAACGAACCACTGCATTTTTGCCTACACACTGACCCCTACCGGTCATTCGGTGTACTACAGGCTTCTCAGACATTATTGCATTTCATGTACAAACCAACGAACCACCGCATTTTTCACCTACACACTGACCCCTATTGGTCATTCGGTGTACTACAGGCTTCTTAGGCGTTGTTTGCATTTTCATGTACAAACCAATAAACCACTGCATTTACACCTACACACTGACCCCTACTGGTCTTTCGGTGGACTACAGGCTTCTTAGACATTATCGCCTTTCATGTACAAATCAACAAACCACTGCATCTTTGCCTACACACTGACCCCTACCGGTCATTCGGTGTACTACAGGCTTCTCAGACATTATTGCATTTCATGTACAAACCAACGAACCACCGCATTTTTCACCTACACACTGACACCTATCAGTCATTCGGTGTACTACAGGCTTCTTAGACATTATTGCTTTTCGTGTACAAAACAATAAACCACTGCATTTTTATCTACACACTTACACCTACCGGTCATTCAGTGTACTACAGGCTTCTCAGACATTATTGCATTTCATGTACAAACTAACGAACCACGGCATTTTCGCCTACATGCTGACCCCTACCGGTCAATCGGTATACTACAGTCTTCTCAGACTTTATTTCACTTCATAAGCAAACAAACTAACTACAGCATTTTCGCTTTTATACTGACTCCTATCTGTCATACGGTAGGATTAACCCTTAGGGACACATGACATGTGTCATGTCATGATTCCCTTTTATTCCAGAAGTTTGGTCCTTAAGGGGTTAAAGGGTATTTTTACCATACAATCAGCATTTATGACCCCTACTGGTCAACAGCAAAACTGTCTTCACATGTCATATACAATTTACCAGCCAATATAAATTACACATAAGATTGTTTTAACCCCTTAAGGACACAAGACATGTGTGACGTGTCATGATTCCCTTTTATTCCAGAAGTTTGGTCCTTACGGGGTTAAACATAACCATAAACCATAAATGAAACTCCAGCACGGGCTCAAATTCAGGTTTAATTCACAATAATTTACATTTCACATCAAGACCAACAGTGGTTCTATCAACACTGCCACCTACAGGTCTGTCAAGTACATTGACAATTTTCATGGGGTTTTACAAACACCAAAACACTGACACCTATAGGTCAACAGACAAACAACATTTCACATACCAATCAGTATCCAACTACACTGCCACCTATAGGGCACTCGGCAGATCTCCAGTGCACTTGCATTTTGCAACACCATGTTCACTGACCCCTACCATTCAATAAGACATACAACAATTCACATAGCAAGCAGTATATCAACATCTGGTATAAATACATATATTATTACACAGTAGCAGATGCGTCTGTATATACGTAACTGGTAATATAGTTCACATACATTTTTCACAGCACGCTGCTCACGCAACAGACTTTCCCCTAGCAAGGGGACATACAACATACAAGGTGGGGACAGACCACATTTTCACTTGTACATACGGCACTTAATGGGTTAAGATTGATACATATTTAACCAGTATGGCTACGATGCTTAATATTTACACATCATGGCACTTTACTTTTCACATATACTGTACGTATTAAGATAAGCTTGGTCTATGCCATATTTCCTTATGCCATATGGTTTTATCCATTCAGGTTACAGTTACTACTACAAATCCTATACGGATTGTCAGGTTCAATACCATACTACCAGGTACATACACCTGCTCACGTAGTTATCCATCTCTTACCTTCCCTGGAATAGTAATAGTGTACTGGCAATTAGGGTTCTAGGGCCCAATAGGTATTACCCCCTTTTTTCTCTGCATTATGCTTCGGTTAGTGGTCCCGCGAGGCCAACACCCCGCCTCACACTCGGAGGCATACACCCCTCGGGCCACTCGTGAGCTAGCCGCCTCGCATTGTATCATAGAGAGGGCCTCACCTGTCACTCCCCTTCCTATTTTCTGGTTACTGTCACCGAGAGGCCAACATCCTGCCACAATGTTCGGTGGCCACACAAAATCCCCTCGCGCCAAGCATAGATAGAGCCTCTCAAGCCACTTGGCAACTAGCAGGGCCTCACCAGTCACCAAAAAACACCAAGCCTAATCGTTTCGCCTTACGGCTTAGCTAGCAAGCCAGTACAAGAACCCTGGGTACAAATAATTGCATCTTTATTGTTATTTAAGTATTTTTCCAAAAGATGGTGAAGAATCACCTCTTCCTAGCACCCCGTCTAGAATTGATACACCTTCAAGCAGAGGACATGTTGCTAGTCCTGCAGCAATCAGATCCTGGACGATCCCACCCATTACCACCGACCTAAGGAGGTGACAAATACCCTACCCTGCTACAGCAAGGAAAGCAGAGTTATTCAAACTCCTCCATACATCAACGGACAACACGGAGGCAGGGGAAGGCCCAGCTACATCAACTCAGGTGACACCCAGGCTATGCTAGCCTCACTCATAAACTCATGAGCCAAAAATTTTTATGACAGACTGGCAATCTCGAGTTGGTCACCACAGCCCTCACAAGGCTGGGCCTCACGTTACTGTACAACCAGCACCAACCGAAACTCGGTTACCTGGTACAATCAATTCTTATGACACACAAGATGTTAACCCTGCACGTATGATCCCAGCACATTGGGGAAGCAAGGCATATATATGTATGATGATGTATCTGTGATGGTCAGATTCAGGGATTCCAGGTAAATCGGGAACTGACCATCTCTTGGATGGGTTGGTATTTGGAATATGTAGAGATGTTTATTTGTGCAGGTACCCATACAGAAGGGGTTCTGTCCCAAACAAATGGACGAGCACTCTCAGGCTCCAGGTACCAGCACCTCTGAACTACCAGAGACGATTGATATGAGTAGTTGCATTGCATATAGACTGTTGCATATATGTTCAAATGGTTCAGGGCACATGACAAACCATGTGGCCCAATACAACTTACAAATAACGTACTCACCATCTGTACACACCAATGCATTTTCAACACCACTGACTCATCCCCCTTCCAGACTTGTAGTAGATGTACTAAAGCTCTGGAGCTTCAAAGGGCTCCCATACAGGTATCATAAACACACCTTCAAGGAATATAGCATGCCCTCACTTACAGTCAGCACAACAAAACCATTGGCTGAAAACACACTCATAGCCAAGATTTGCAGAGTGGTCTTCCAATCTCCACCATTTATAGCATGGCACCAAACACACACATTGGTATTGTCACAAGGAATCTTCCCTTAAACAAAGACTAACTATAGACTTATTGGCACCACACACCTCCGCTACCCCAAGTCTCAACTCCCTTCTTACTATACAACACCATTGATCTACCTTTACAGCTATCACTCAAGCATGGGTTAAAGCTTGTTAAGTAAGACCAATATCATCAACGCAGTAAACAGCTACCATCTACCCTACACACTGGCACTTACATGGCATAAATTGGGCAATCCTTTCCCTGCTCAACTTTTGAGCTACAGATTAACCTACTATCGATATTCGCAGATACTCTGTGCTGGTTATGATAACATATCCAGAGGCATTACAGTCATACACTATCTAGAAGACTTCTTGTTGCTCAAAGAAAGCATATTTTTCACTAGAAGCCTCATGGCAGCTTAGTCTGGTTGACCACTTGGGCGTCCCAGTACCCCATAAGAAACAGAAGGCGCAGACACTATCATCACATTACTGGGCATATGACTTGAGTCGGCATCCATACACGCAAGTTACCACAAGACAAATAGGGAACATTCTCAACTAAATCAATCACTACCTCCTGCTTAGTACTTACAACTACAAGGAACTACAATCCCTACCAGGTTCCTTAATTTTGCCATGCCAATCATACCACAAGACCACGCTTTCACATCCAGAGTACTTTCCCCTTTTTTCCACACTTCCAACATGACGATCAGAGGAAGTGCCTAGACACCTCAGCAACAGCAGACCTGCACATGGGGGGGATTTCTTAACCACTTGGCATGTAAAAGCATGTTCCTTCCAGGATTGTCTGACACTTCTCCAACCAGATGGTCAGACACAGCGTATACCACGGGTTTGGCAGCGATCTACCGGGAACAATTGCTTTGGGGCTGTTGGCCATGGCATCCAGGTTTGGAAATTTTTCCACCACTTCAGCCCCTTTGGGAGATCTACCCCATTGTAGCAGCTGCTGTGGCATGGGGTAAATCATGGTCAGGGTCATCAATCCGTTGTTACTCAGACAACTAAGCACATATCATATCATCAACAAACGCCACTACTCATCCATAAGTTCATGATGTTTCTGGGGAACTCACTTGGTTGGCCACTTATCACATTTCACTTTCATGTACCAGACGGGGGTATACATCCCTGCCGACAACTGTCTCATTTATATTCCAGGCATGTTCATCATACGCTTCCTACAGCCGCCCATACAGTCAGGTCCACTCTTTCGTTCCAGAGACAAAATCATGGATTAGACATACTCATGCAGCATAGCATGCACTATCCCACCTAGCACTTTCGTCCCATACTTGTAGAACGCATAACACAGCTTTTCACCTGGCTTAAAGAATCTCATTGGAACACGACATAGCTCAACCTGTGTCACAAAATTTCTCCTAAGTTTTGCTTATTTTTGCCACCTTAAACTTAAACTATCTCATACACCATTAATTATATATTTTACAGGCATTCAACAACACATGATAACCTATGGCCAAAACTACCATAAACCTCATGCTATCATACCAGAAAAGAATATACTCAGAGGTTTTCAGGAATCCATTCCCCCACGTTCCTCTCAGAGATTACCAATAGCCATCCAACTGTTCATCCTTATCGGACCTATTAGATCTACAACCATTCAATTATACTACCAAGTCGGCCATTACCAGCCATGCACATTGCCTTTTATGCCTTTCTCAGGCCAGAGAATCCACTACCATCACCACCACTCAGACAGATCATTGTCTTCAACGATCCCACGTACGTAAACACATATATCATTACCTATTGGCTCTACCACATTCCGAAATGAGTCAACATGCACCAACAGTAGAGATAACATACTATCCTACCCACAACAAATGGTGCCCACTTTCGGTCCTAGATTCCTACCTTCAAAATCCTTTCAGGAATTAAATACTGTAATGCATTTAAGGAAATGTCTGGTTAATTTGTATATATTTGTTGACTGTATTAAATCTTTGATTATTCATTTTTGCCCTCTTTATTTACAGGCCTACCGTATCGTCGGTATCGGCACACCACAACCGACTTGCTCCCTTTACACTATCCTAAGCTTATGCTGGATCCTTACTCCATATACGGCTATTTTGCCCCTTACACAAGTATTAAGGCAGTTTTGCCTGTATTTGTGGGAGGGGCTTAAATTAATTCACTCCCCTATATAAGGGACACCCCTTACCTGACTCATATCGCTTGAGGTCAGCATCAGAATGACCCTCCCACCCACTCCTCATTTCAACACTTTCTCTTTTCTTTCCATTTACTTTACTTTCTTACTCCTTGGTGGGCCCTCTTTATTTACAGGCCTACCGTATCGTCGGTATCGGCACACCACAACCGACTTGCTCCCTTTACACTATCCTAAGCTTATGCTGGATCCTTACTCCATATACGGCTATTTTGCCCCTTACACAAATACATTTTATGCATTTGACTCTCTATACTTATTTCAGTTGACAATTAGGCTCATCAGAACAAATGAATTTGACAACCCTGCCTTACAAACTTTCTTTTCTGTTCACTATCTACTGTGCAACCTCTCAGGTATATTCATATCATTTAATTCCCTCACTTCCCTCTGTGCATTAGTCCCTCATTCTTATATATTGTAATCTCATTGTTATAGACCCCTTTGCTGTACTTACATTATACTGATCATGTGGCACACCGATTCGCCACCATGCTGTTTCTTTCTCTTCTACCTCTATTTCTGGTGTTTCCAACACTGGCCACTGCGGTCATGCCCCCCTTTTATGATACAATGCAATGTCTCTGCATTATGTCATTTGCAACACACCCTTTGTGGGCATGGATATTACGCAAATGCCTTTACTATATAAAACCAGGCATTTTTCTGGGTATCACTGTCCCGTTTTGGTTTCTGATTAGGTCTTAATAGTGTTATACACATATTGTCTGATTTTTCTGGTTTATTGACTCGGCATCCCTTGACTATTTCCACTACTACTTTCTGATATCCTTGACCTGACTTTGTATCTCGCTTCTCCAATTTCTGTCTCCCTTTGTACCTGACTATACTTTGAATACTGTTCTGTCTAATTACATTTACCCCACCATTCTAAGGACCAATATACAGTCTAGGTTTAGTGCTTACTGATGTTGGGTGGTATATCATGACACCTACCGTTTTCATATGTCAAACATGTTTTGTTAGAAGTATTGTCTTGTCTTGTTTTACCTATTGTTTTACCTTAGAAATGCATGAAAATGTTTCTCTTTTTTTCTGTGTAGATTTTAAATCCAGACCAGATTCTCATTCGGTTGAGCACCCCATTATGTGTGCCCCTTTTGAGGTGACCACAGAAAAGCATTGAAGCTGTAAGTATTGCAAGTTATCATGTAATTCTCCCATGTAGAATTAATGTAGGAGCCACCGCTATTGGGGTGCTGTGACGTAGTGGTGGGCTTAACACAATATGGGCATATGGTGTCACTGAATCCCCATATTTGTTTGATAAGCTGGGTGGTTTTAAGAAGCCTTGTAAAATTGAAACCTGTATTTATTTTGTGTTTTTTGTATGTGCGCTGTTTGTTTAACTGTATTTTGTGTATGTTGTTGTCTTTATTGCAGCACCACTATTTAGAAATACATGAACATTTTTGGGTGTGCCCCCAATTCAATTTTTTTTTTTGTTTTACCCTATGTACAGCACTTCAGAATATGTTGACACTATATACACAACTGTAATTGCATATTGTAGATATATTACTTGGATTAGTAGTAACATCCTCATCAAGTAGAATACCTATTTGAAATAAAACGTTTCCTTGCAAATTATTTCAAAGAGTTTTTTCCAGCTTATTTCAGTTATCTCAGAGAATATTTTTTATATATTTATTTTTTCTTCTTCACAAAATCTGTTCTATCTTCACTGTATGAACAAACACATTGTGTAACTGGCCAGGTAAATTTCCATTCTGATGCATTCGTATTAGCTAGGACATTTTCAAAGCATACGCAAGTTACCGGAAATTCCTGGTAAAAACACTCACGTCAGAAAACCTGCTTTATTTATTGATGCCAGTAAATGCCCAGAAGCAGAAATATTGCTTTGCATGATGAAAACATAAAATTCTGTAGAAAATGTAACGGCAAAAAAAAAAAATGTTACAGCCCCAGTTCAATATACTGCTACAAAATAAAGGAATCATTTTTCTTTGGTTGTTTTTTTAAGACAATAACCTTTTATAACTGTAACGCATTCAACACATTATTATTTTATATTAATGTATATTGTAATTTAATCCGTTTTCCCAATAAGATAATGCATATTCATGCAACTTCACAAAACTATTCAGTGAGTGCATATGTATCATGCATTCATCCAATATTCACAATTGTAAACATTAATATATGCATGTATCTACAGATATATCTTTGAGTTATGGATCTTTCATGAATAGTCTTTTTTTATATATCTTGAGGCCATTAAGTAAGTCATACAATGTTAGTGTGTGAGATAAAATGGAAAGTGTCCTGCTGTCTGCCAGAGCAAAAGGACTGGGGCAAGTGCAAACGAAGCGTATGTTTAAGCACGCACTCAATGTACAAGGGGTGAATTAAAGGGTATATCAGTAATATTAAAATGCCAGCATATTATTTTTATTGGCCATACAACTGAAATAACTGCTAGCACATATTAAGTTTATAATTGCAATTCACCCCCACACACACACACACACACTTAAAACCAAATGAAGATGGATGTTTTTTTTATGCCTGCTAGTGTACCAGTTATGAAAAATGACCATCTCAACACCATAATTATCCTGCCTCAACCCAGTAAACAAAACATGTTCTAAACTTCTTAACAGGAGAAAAAATCATAAAGGTTTTCTGGAAGAATTTACACCAGAACCTACACAATATCACATTCCTGCTCCTTACCTTTCACATGGCACTTGTTCCGTGGAACTGCACAGGTGAGGCTGGGGAGAAGAGACCCAAACAGTAGTACAGAAAGCTTGGCCATACTTAAAAGTTTGGAATGGAGCAAAGAGTGAAAGAGAAAATGGGGAGGTGCCGAGAAACAAACCAAAGAAGATAGACATAATATAAAGGGAGATAGACATAAAAGGGGATACAGAGAAATTAGGGGTGGAATGAAAATACACATGCACACACTTAGCCTTCCATCATGCCTAAATGCCTGTGTCCCTGTCACTCAGAAGTGCTCTGCCGTATCAAATATGAAGGAGATCTTGGCTCATCTTTATTCAGAAAGAAGATCCAAAGATCTCAAATAATATTGTTATGTAAAATAATGCCATTCTGAAATCAAACAAGGTTTGATAAAGTCTGTTAGACAAAACGCGTTATGGAAATCTAATTTTGTATAATAAATATTAAAGTTTTTGGTTACCTGATAGTCCCAACTACTTTTATTTATACATGTACCCTGGCTATTTATCTTTTTAGTTCAATGTTATATTTTATATACATTTTATTCTGATTTTAATACTACCTCTACAAGTTCCTGACAACCAAAGAAATCCATAGGTGGGGATTATTCCACCAGCGCTGACATCAAAGAGCAGTTGGCCTGCTCTGTACTTGTAAGTACGTTTTTTTATTCTCTTTTATGATATACAGTTATACAGAGAGCACTATTTGGCTGTTTCTGTTTCCTTTGAATTTTGGATACCCTGACGAACCCATCATAAATCCCATAAGCGGGGATTATACCGCTGTGTGCGCTTTACCCTAGAGCTGGACAGAAGCTCTGGAAATTATCGCGTTCCTGTACCTTAAGACGACAGAGAGGACACCTTTTTAGGTCGGACTTTTTATCTTCAATAACTATTGAAATTGGACATTGTCTATTCTGGTGCAGCCCTCCTTTTATATTTTGCTTAAGACCTATATATACAAATGTAGACTTTTTGAAAAATAGGTCTTGGCAATGTAGCGATCATAAAGCACATCTATAAATTCTAGTTCATATTGCTGCGTTAACACACCACAATCTGAAGAAAGACCATTTTTTGCATCAGTGCAAATCAAGCAAGTCAACTATTTGTACAAATCATATCACGTAGAATGTATATCAAAAATTAAATGCTGTTATAGCAATAAATGAACTGTAGTTTATGAAAAAGGTCAGAGAACACCCCACTACGGCAAAAAAATTATGGGTGGCCTAAGGTAATTTGAAATGATATATATATATTACAATATGTATTACACAATGCCAACAGATATATCATGTTTTCAGTCATGTATGCACAGATGGTGACATCAGGATGTACTTGGAAACCAGAGTAAACTGAATGTACCTTTCCTGGTTAAATACTTTGTTATTATTATTATTATATGAGCATTAATTCTCTTTAATAAATACATAATCTCAGACAGCTCCATGACCTACATATTCATGCATACCTGAAATTAGTTGAAATTACACATCTGGATGGCAACTTCTATAGCAGATGCTGCCTGAGAGTGTAATTCTTACTAATCTCTGGATTAAAGGAGCTCTTCCACTTACAATAACTAATCATCTAACTGTTTACATCCTCGCTAACCACCACTAGAGGCAACCAGGATAATTGCAGCTAGAAAATTTGTATATCTATACGCTATTCATTTTTATAGCACTTAAGAATGTGTAATAGCTCACATTGCCAATAATATGCAATAAAGATTGTATTTATAAAAATAATGTTTTGAATAATATGTTAATTGGCTTATGTTGTCAAAATATATTGCAGAGTCATCTTCTAAACTACAAACTTACTTTAACAAATGAAAATCTGAAAGCCAAAATATTAGCAAATATAGCTAATTTTATTAAAGGACCACTCTAGGCACCCAGACCACTTCAGCTTAATGAAGTGGTCTGGGTGCCAGGTCCAGCTAGGGTTAACCCATTTTTTCATAAACATAGCAGTTTCAGAGAAACTGCTATGTTTATGAATGGGTTAAGCCTTCCCCTATTTCCTCTAGCGGCTGTCTCATTGACAGCCACTAGAGGCGCTTGCGTGCTTCTCACTGTGATTTTTTGTGATTATGAATGCTTTCCTATGTGGCCGGCTGAATGCGCGCGCAGCTCTTGCCGCACGTGCGCATTCAGCCGCATGGGAGGAGAAGAGGAGAATCGGAGGAGGAGAGCTCCCCGCCCAGCGCTGGAAAAAGGTAAGTTTTAACCCCTTTCCCCCTTCCAGAGCCGGGCGGGAGGGGGTCCCTGAGGGTGGGGGCACCCTCAGGGCACTATAGTGCCAGGAAAACGAGTATGTTTTCCTGGCACTATAGTGGTCCTTTTTTTTTTTCTTATTTTTTTTTTTTTTTTTGTGTTCTCCATTTATTTTAACAAGTTCCTCTATGTGACAAGTGTTTTGTTTTTTTTAACAGTTGGTTTACCAAAGCTTATTCAATATAACCTTTATCTTTTAGATATCTGTTCCCTATATAAACCGACTGCACTTATCCATTCACATACCATAACATCTAATTACACCATGTCAGTTTAAAGTACATTCTCAACGGCACAATATGAGGGTGGAGATACAGGGCCAATGTAACGTACAATAGTGATTATGGCACATTGGCTCACATCACGTGAGGCACCACCAAGACTCAGCCCACAGAGGAGTTGATGAGGTGTATATTCACTGTACAGCACAATCAAACACAATCATTTTGAGGTAGACACATCAGCGATGGGCACAGTGGAATCTCTCAAAATGGTCATCAATGGAATAAGTAGAATAACTTATGTATCCATGACATTATGGAGCAAGATGCTCATAAACCCAACCCCCTTCCTCTTTGTGTGTCCAGGGACTGTGCTCTTCTCCGTTTTGGCGGCGAAAAACAATACGATCATGCAGACGATTGGTCTGTCCCTGCCAAAATTCCATGACAGATGGGCAAATAATGTAACCTCCCCACTCAGGAGGTCTGGGCACTTCTTTCTCCTTGTACTCCTCCTCTAGCTCAGCATTCTTTGTGCGCAGATACTCTCTGTCAGGAATAACTTGACTCTGTCTGCTCACAGCTGCTCCAATCTGGCTACTTTTGGGACGAGAGTGAAAATATCTTTCAGATTCCTCATCTGAAAGCTGCTCCACAGAACCCTCAATCCGAACCTGTCGATTCAAGGGCTCCCAGAAAAAGAGAAGAGAGGCAACAGGGTTTTCTTCCAGCTCTATTCCTTTCCTACTTCCTCTGTTTTTGTGAAAATCGAAAGACATCTGAACCAAATCCTTTCAGGAGGACCATGCGGGCTGAAGGTTTCCCATCCCTGGTGGCTGTGGCCAGACACATTGCATTTGGCTCTGCAATGCATGAACATTGAGCGACCTCTTGGAACCAGGAATTAAACTGAATAATTGGATCAAGGGAAGCTAGGTGACTTTCTTCAAATGCCTCTTCATCACTCCGGTAACTCTTCCGCATCGACCCTAAATCCATGACGTCACTTCCAGTCCGGCCACTGGCTGCTCAGGCCACCGGAAACGGCTGACTGGGGCAAACGGCCTGTGACAGCAACGTCCCAAAGCTCCGCAACATGAAGCGTTACAGCATGACGTCTATAGTGGTCCTTTAAGTTCACCATTTTAGCCATAGTCACAGCTTGGATATTTTAGCCCGGTTTAGGCTTTCGTATTTCAATTCACTACAATTCAGAGTTTATTAAATAACCCTGTTGGTTTTCGTTTCTGTATTGAGAACAAAATAGCAAAATGAAAAAAAAATTCCTATATTTTAGTGAATACGTTCAAATAAATGCTTCTGTTGATTTATCTGTAGAGATGATAAGTATTATACAGGACCTTTTGATCCAGCTCCCAAATAAAGGAAGTCGTTTGGAAAGAATTGTTTGCTGGAGGTGGATAGACTATTGCTATTTTTTTTAATTGTCTGGAGTTCTCACATTTCGTGTCACTGAAAATGTCGAAAAATTTTATAAAGTCCATCATGTTATTGGATATGTATGATGAGGAGGCAAAAACAACTGAAATGAAGTATAAGGGATATAACAATATAGACATGAATAATACATAGTGTTGGTTTAATTCCTTCTCTATATCTCTGCATATGTAATTCTAAAACAATAATATATAAAATGATGCTTTACATTGATACATTTTAATCCATTCAAAAAGTCTGTTTTGTTACTAGATGCCCAGAGCGATTTTTACTTCCTATTGTTTGATTCATAATTTCTGTTTCTCATTTAGTGATCTCACATGAAATATAAATGTGTTTTTTTAATATTGAATATTGTTCTTCTATGTAATTTTTATACAGGCAGCATATTAATTAGTATGTAGGAAAGGGGATAAAAAAATAGAGAAATATAAGAAAAAATATGTGAATTTCTTTTATTTATGTATAATAATCTTTATTACATTTTTTTCCTTTAACATATATATTTTAAAAAACACACAAAAATTATACAAGTCTGATACACATTACTAACATGTAAGATCAAGTCACTTTACACATACAAAATATACATACAATATATATATATATATATATATATGTGTGTGTGTAAAATATGTATAAAACTGGAAACATATTAAATGTTTTGTTGTTGGTTCCAAGCTGGAATTATCAAAATCCACATGCTAATCTTCCAGTTTGTATAGAAAACATTTTCTACCAGCAATCTTTAGCAAATATAACACAAAGTTTACAGTTTTCTTTATATTAAATATAATTTGGAAGGAATAACAGATATTAAACAAATCTGAGATGCACAGTTTCAAGCATACACCTTGTTGTTCCTTTACAATAAGGGGATGTATCTACAGTTCCTCTATTTAATACAGGGGTCTCTATGGGATTCTGGCAAGCTGCTAAATTCCCAGAGGTTAGACAAGAGCTCTGGAACCTTTAATTTGCTTGCCCACATTCCCCAGCTCTGTGTTTAGAATGAAGGTGGGCTGGGGGCTTCCTGATCCGAGCAGATAAATGTGTTTTCTTTTTTAGTAAAGGCTAGCACTAGAGTAGAGCAAATAAGGGAGGGACGTTGTGTGCCGTGGTACCAAACACTTCTCTATGGTGACATTTTTTTTCAAGGCTATTGTAAGAGAAAATGGGTATTGCTTTGTTAGACATTCACAAACCTATGAAACTACTATGGCGCACTTGCCACCTGTTTCACCTATAGCCCAATGACACATTTTTATTTGTTCACTTTTAAACTTTGTTCATTTGTTCAATATTTTTTTGTTTAGATAGAATGCCTCTTTACAATTATCTGGAATATAAAAGTGCAGTATCTGTCTCTTTCTTTATGCTTTCTGTGCTTAAAATATGCCTCTTTCTATTATTTCAGAATAGAAAAATGTTCTCCCTTAGTAATGTTCAGTCTAATTAAAGCTAAGCGACATGTTTCATGTGCTTGCATTTAGCAGGCTCCATATATACAACACATTTAAATTTGGACTTGCTTGCCATGGGCAAAGAGGGTGATTTGCTATATTTAAAGAATACTAAACATGTGGGTATAGAAACATGCTTTGATTTGGGGGATTTCCTGTCTTAGAATAGCTCAATCACAATGTTACATTCAATTGGACTGAATGGTATCTAGTGGGATACATCAAAAAGTATAAGGCAAATGTGAATACAATTACATAAATAACTATTTTAAATAAAGAACAAATTAACATCTGTTAAGCGAGATTCTAATTTGTTTACTTTTTCCTGTTTAGGCTGGAAGGACACAATTCAACTTGTCTTCTAAATTTAGGAATGGTTATCGGAAGAGATTAAAGGTTTGGATAATCGCCCCTGACTAATTAAATACATAACAAGGACATATTGATCAAAGGTTGTGTTAGATAGATAGATAGATAGATAGATAGATAGACAGATATTTGCATGTGGTTTTTTCCTCACACGTGTTGCACAACTACAGTGTTTAGTACTAATTTATCACATCTTTTCATTTTAAACACTTTAAGCTTGGACATATATATTGATTATTAAGAGATATTAACTTATTGGAAGTAACATAATGTATCCAAACTTAGAAACTGCAATGGCATTTGTCTTAAACACCTAGTGACATACTTGTAGATTTACATTTATTAGTCTTGCATTAAAAAAAAGAAAAGAAAGGAAAGGGAGAAAAAAAATAAGAATATATATATATATATATATATATATATATATATATATACACACTCGTCTTTAAAAAGGACAATATAGTCACCAAAACAATTTTAGTTTAATTAAGTAGTTTAAATGTATAGATCATGCCTCTGAAGTCTTACTGCTTAATTCTCTGTCATTTATAAGTAAAATCATTTTTGTTTCTGTTCGTGCAGCCCTAGACATACCTTCCTTGGCTGTGACTCACAGAGCCAGCATTAATCTTAATCACATACTAATCACATAAGATCTAGCAAGCTATTAACAGTGCTGGAGATTGTAAATTCTAAATTAAACAGAATACACAATAAAGGAAGTGTAAACATTATATATAGCTTTACAGGAAGTGTTTAGGAAGAATGTACAGTTACTTAGAGGAAAATGTGACTAAAGCTGCATAAACAAAGTGATGTAACTCCTAAATGGCAGATAATTGACCAGTGAGACTGCAGGGGCATGTTCTATACAAAAAACTGCATCATTAAGTTAAATTTGTTTTGGTGATTATAATGTTTGTTTTAACTTATATACACACAATACAGCCATGGCACTGCATCAACATCAACCAAAACTAGATTCAGAAATTCTAAGACCTTGTTCCTCCTTTCCTAGCCCTCAACTCGACACCCCTACATCTGTTAAATCTCAGCTCCATCATATTTGCAACCTTTATAAAATCTGATTTTCTCCCCCTTTCTCCATTTCATATCACATCCATATCTTTGATTTCAGTTTTTTGAATCCCATTTTTCAGTTAAGTTTTTTCTCTCCCACCCCTTACAATCTTTTTCACTTTCTTCCCTAACCACATAAATATCTTTAATTCTCCTTTTCAATTTCCTCGGTCTCTCTGTTCCATCCCCCATCACCTTACAAATGTACTTTAATAGATCTCTGTCTACCTCCTACCCTTTCCAATATTTTTTTTGTCTCCAGTTTTTTCCTTTTGCACTGTGCTTTTGATTTTCTCTCTTGTTTTTATGTACTGTTCATGTTTATAACTGTTGTCTCTGTTCTATTCAACTCCCTTTATTCTATTCCTACAACACATTTTTACCTACCCTTTCCTATTTCAGCATATCAGCCTTACCTCTCATCTATGTTTTACTGAGTTCCTGGGACTTGTATTTTATTTTTTGAAATATTTATTTTAACATTGGACAATAGCCAGCACACTGAACCCAGGACATCATGTAACATTTTAAATCCCACGCAAGGTGATAGAATGAGTGAAGCAATACTTTTTCTTAAGGCTGATAGTGTTTTACTCTCCGTATAAGTGTCCATAAGTCCATTAGTCATTTCACTTCTTCACTGCCATATTCAGTCTCATGAGTGCAATCAGATACTTTTGGAGGTGACGCTAACTTTATGATGGCAGTGTTATTGTTAGACTCCCTGCAAAACTGCCTTAAAAACCTATTTTTTCAAGTAGCAACTATCTATGTTCTTGTTTCTGAAACAATTAAAATTATATATGTATAGGAATGCTGAAGACCATTCTTAAAGGTACTTAGAAGACCTTAATTCATATTGCCCCAATATGGACCTGCTCAATACGAAAATAACAGGTATTAGGTTTCTAGCGTTTAAATGTTGAGTGTAGGAGGCTTTCTATTCCGGTGCATCAAAGGATGTAGATATGACATAGAATTCTCAGATGTTGATAAATATGTAATTAAATAAAAAGAGAAAATACAATGAAAATATAGTGCAGTATCTCTGATGTAAGTGGATGGGGAACATACCACCTGAGCCTTAAGGATTGAGCAGAACCTCTATTTTGCTCTGCACTAGAAATTTCCTCTCCAATACCCCTATTGTTGCCTATATATCGCAGTAAGTGCTGTATTTTTATTTGTTCTTATTTACATATACATCATGAGACCATCAGCCAGTTAACAAGATCCTTAATTAAAGGAGTTAGGCCAAATTAATTTAGCATCTATTAATAATTAGCAAAAAGTTCACTGCCATCTAATAGTTAATTTAGACTTCACTCTACCATATCTCCAACAGTTACAAATTAACGACAAGATTAATTTAAATCGTTAAACATATCCGTGAGTTTATAAGCCTAGAAATATCTGTAATTCTATCGTATTACAATGATAAATACAGCCAGCTACATTGTGTTTACTCTGCAGTATCCCTGCCAACTTGACATTTTTTATGAACACAGAAATATGTTGTTAATTTTCTCTTCTTCACCTTTTTGTACTTTGGTGATTTGTTAAATCCAATTTTCTAAACTTCCTTCAAACCACATAGTATAAATCATGTGTAAATCCCTCTTGAATAACCACAAGAGCTGACAAAACTGAAAACCAAGCTCGTAAGACATAACTCCTACCCAGTGCTAATTAGAAGCATATAAATCTCTTCTTATACTGTACGCAACAAGATTAAACAGGTGTCAGCATAAGGCTGCTTTTCTTTACCTACATTTTTTATTTTTCTAGCTTAATCTAAATGGAACACTAAATTAATCAAATGAGTATTTGAAATAAAATTTTAACTACAGCTTTTCGAGTTACTAGCAGATGCACTTGGGTGAAAAAACACATGAGATGAGACATGTATTATTATAAAGCAACTTAAGATGCAATGGTGAATACGAATCACAATAAGAACACGTTACAGTATTTAAGTGACTGATACAAGAAAGCAAACCAGCCTAAACATTTATCTAAGTTTAGAGCAAAAAGAAATATATTAAACCTAAGAAATGTATAGGAATTAATCTTCATAGTTAAAGATGAATAATATCTTAGTCAGTCACTGCTATCTGGTCCCTAAAGGACTAAATACTATCCTGAGATGTCCTTCTTTAATTGTTAACAGACTCTCCACTGCTAACTGAGTGGGATGCTCAAGTTTATTTATGATCTTTGAAAGGTAGTTTGTTTTGACATAATTATTTTGTTCTTAAGGGTTAAAGTGCAATTGCCACGCAGAAATAAGAGGAGCAAATTAAAGCCTAGACATAATTTATGATAGTGCTCATTTCATCAGGTTTAGAGCCTTGACAAACAATACTTATATTATGCTAAAATGTTTTGAATTAATCTTTTACGCGTTTGGCACAAATGTGTAAACTCCAACCATGAAGGTAAGCTTGGGGCGTGTCTCTTCTATACACGAATACCAGGACAACGGTTGGACATTTTGCCTTGCAGAAGGCTAAGTAGTGCATTGTGGGATAGGCATAAAGACATGTTGGCACAATGTTAACTGCAAAGTGTAAACATGAGCCCTAATTCTCTTCAATTTACACATTTGCTAACAATTTCACTGGAACTATATACCACAAACTGAAAATTGGAAAACATTTATAATGCATATGCCTCAGGAACCTTTTCTTTTATAGTGTAATGTGTATCCATTGTTTATATTATTTTAATAAGTGTCATTATAAAATTCAAAATTTGAGTTGGGGAAATATTTTTTTTCGCATTGCTGTAAAAACAGATGGGTGTCCATCCAGAGCCCCTCTGTAGGTCTACTCGTTTATTTTGTATCAACTCACATGTTAACAAAATGGAAGTCTTACAAGTTTCAGAAGCTGAAAACAATCACTTTCCAGTCAATATGTTTTTCGGCAGTCTTCAACAGCATGGAGGAAAAAAACACGTGGGTGAATGGCAGGTCATTTTCTATGTCGTGTCGAATTTGATGTGTGAAAGAAGAACATTTGTCTGTGTATAAACTATACAGATAATTCCTCCAATGTATGCAATGAATTCATGTTCAGTAGTTATTATATATGACTCAGCAGAATTCAGAATATTCAGTATGCATTCCTTAATAGATACTACTCATCGGGGAAAAGCCAAGAGATAGAAAGGGAATGTAAAATGGGCTATGTGATGCATTTTATCACTGACATGTAAAGATTTGGAGTAGCATTCTCATCATTCCTACATATACTATAGTAATGTTTGGGGGGCAGGGGGGGTGTTAGCCATCTTGCTAATGATGTTGAAACTACTAATGCATTCTCTTCTTTATATTTTATAAGATTTGTTTGTTCTACGGCTGTCAGTGGCTGATAAGGTATGATTCACTTTAAAAAAAAAAATTAATTGTCAATATTAAAATGTCACTATCGTTATGTTAACAGTAAAATATTACACACTAAAATGACTCAAGGTAGAGCAATATACATAGTGCTTTATGTCTAGGGATAGTTAGGGATGAGGGTTTAGGATTCCATAGCTAAGAATCATGGGAGTTAGTCTTAGTCTAAAACTAAGCATCTTAAATGGACACTATAGTCACCAGAACAACTACAGCTTATTGAATTTGTTCTGGTGAGTAGAATCACTACCTTCAGGCTTTCTGCTGTAAATACCGTCTTTTCAGAGAAAATGCAGTGTTTACATTACAGCCTAGTGATAACTTCACTGGCCACTCCTCAGATGGATGTTAGAGATCCTTCCTGGGTCATGGCTGCCTAAAATGCATCCAAACATTCAGTATCTCCTCCCTCTGCATGCAGACACTGAACTTTCCTCACAGAGATGCATTGATTCAATTCATCTCTATGTGGAGATGCCGATTAGCCAGGGCTGTGTTTGAATTGTGCTGTCTCTGCCCCGATCTGCCTCCTTGTCAGTCTCAGTCAATCCTATGGGGAAGCACTGTGATTGGATCAGGCTACCACTTCTGATGATGTCAGCAGACAGCTTGTTTTTCTGATGTAGACAGGGCAGAGCCAGCAGCCTCAGGCTTGAATACAATAAGATTTTTTACTATATTTATGGAGGCATGAGGGGGCCAGGGGGGCTAGATGGTGGTTTTAACACTATAGGGTTAGGA